CGGTAAAAAAGATATAATAGGTGACCTCACAATGGACATTTATACTTCAATGTTTTAGTGACAGATTACGTTTTTCAGAAATCCAGTTTTTCTGATAATTTAAGTGTAACATTTTCGACTGTATTTAGGTGAGGCATAGTTACATAATTTGTATTTGTAGTGCAAGAAACACTGAAAACAACTGTTATTACTTGTAATTCTGAGAAGATTCGTTGTTGTTAAGTTACTTTCATAGAAAAACTCAGATTTTGTACTCGAATATGACATAGTTTTAAACTTTTAAAAGTTTGTTGCTCAAAAGCGAAAGCCGGAATGACCAGTGAGTCTGACTGAGCGAGCTAAACTGCGCTTTCGTGAATCTTTGGTCCTTTTTTGTCACTTTGTAAAATAGAGAACATTTCATTGTGAGAAATGTATAGTTTTACACTGTATGGTCTGTTTCTGATGACTTGGTCTCGTTAGTTTCGGACGTCGTGAAAACTCTTCTTCGGTCGTGACTAATAAGCGCTGTTTAGTGAAGTTAAAATTTTCGTCGCAAAGCAAGTGTTCAGTCATTCTCGATTCTCAGTCAGTGTAGTGTTGTTTATAAATATTCATAGAGTTATTAAAACTGTCATAAGTGATAACATGTAGACAAAATTACACTGTATTTAGTAATACTATGTGTTGTTTGTTTTTGCTGTCCGTCGGTGGAGATTTTGTAAGAATTCAGCCTCGGTCGAACGACATCCCCTTAGGTTGTGTTCACACTTGGAGCCCGAGCACTGGGTGCTGGACATCGGTTCAAAATAGTGTAGCGTTCAGACACTGGATACTCCAAGTATTTAAGTACCATTTAGTTTCCCAATACAAGGTCGAGACCTTGCACTCGGGCTCTGGCACCGTGACTTTCCCCATATTCTGGTGTAAGTACGAAAAAAGAAAAAACGGTGTGTTCGCATTAGTTCCCAACGGGAATCGTGAACGGGCACCATGCTGGGGCGCCAAGTGTGAACATGGCCTTGGATGCTACAATAGATTCGGTTGCGCCCACGATCTTTTCGGGCAAGAGGGCTCTGAGCTGAGCCAGTCTGGTCAGCAGACGTCAGCCTCCGGTTGTCCAAAGACTTAAGGAAGTCTGGATGGGATTTAATTGATAACTGAAAATTGTTCAAAATTTTAACTCTCAGTTGAGAATGACGCGGTTTTTATCTTATAGCTGAGGTCTGAGATCTGCAAAGTTTTCTCATAAGTGAAGGTGGGCTGAACGTTTAACCGGATAGCTGAGAAATTGTCGAAAATTTAACTGACACCCCACCCAGACCTTAGTTTTTCAACAGATGGATCACGCTATCCAGTGAATGAGTGTTAACAAAACCAACTACGACTTCTACTGGATAGTGACTTATCCGGTGGATTTCTTTTTTTATCCTTTACAGTTTTTCAGTGCCGTAGTTTTGCGCAGTGTTCAGGGTAGTGCACAGGGTAGTGCAACGTAACACCGTTACGAAATAATAATGCACTATATCTCGATATAACGAACGTTTTGGTTGTTTTTTCGCAATTTCGTTACAACGTACCCTCGATATAACGGACCAATTTCCCCAGTCCCTTGGGACTTTGTTAACTCTAGACTTCACCCGCGTACTGACTAATCCTTGCAGTGTCGGTACAAAAAAGCCCTTACTTGTGGATAAGTAAATTTTTATGTCAGGTTTTTCTGTTTGTAAATGAGTATCTCCGAGTCTGTTATCTGCTTTATAAACAGAATCATTACTATAAAAAGGAGAAATCTTTTTTACCATCTATGGTCTTTTTTT